TTGACAGACAATCGATTGTTCCAATTTTGACATGTCGCCTCTTTATAAATTTAGGCTCTTTACATCAGCCAATAAACGCTAATGTCACTTCTATACACACACTAATCAACTTTCAACTTGTAGCTGCAAAACAAAGCTAACAAAATGAATATATTACTCATTTGATGGCTTCTAAACAACCAACCACTCTTGCTGAATAACATAAACATCAAAAGTGCTTTTTCAACAACTAAACAACCTGTACTCAGCTTATAAACTGTGTTAGAGCAACTTCGGAAGCATTTTCACAGTCAACTAGGTTTATTTTTAGACGTGTGCAGTTTTACAGCTTTTACTCTGCTCTTTTATAACTAGTCGAGAAAAGTGATTCGTGTGCACTATTATAAAGCCTCTACCTCGGCCTCTACTCAGCGATTTTGTTGTAGAAGGGAATGTTGATTTGTTTACATAAGTTCAAAGTGTTGGCGTAGCACAGTTGGTAGTGTCAACATTTGCCAATGAGGTCGTCTGGAGTTCGATTCTAGGTTCCGGTGCAGGGTAAATAATTTGGTGATGATTTGTAACTAATTTCGATTAATTTGATTCACAGCAAAATAAACTCAATAAATTCCTTCATAAAAAAGCGTAAACAGTTTTTAACCCGGCTACAAGAGAAAGCTGTGTAGTGATTATTGGATAACCGGGAAAAGTTTGAATAAGCGCCTTTCAAGTTCACACACAACTAAAAACAGCAGGATAACAGCTGTATAGAAGCGTTAATGGATATGCAATAAGAGCTTCTCCCCCGACCGTTCCAACAGCCATAAGTAGATGACTAAGTTCGCCAGATTTGCTTGTATAGAGGTTGAGTAAAGGTTTCCTCATATCGTATAACGTTTGAATACAGCTTGAGGCTGTATAAATGAAATGAGTAAAGCGTTTACATTGTGAAAATTGTTAGTTGGGTACAGTGGTGTAGGAAAAAGAGGGGCACCAAAGGTGCAGTGGTTGCCATCTCAACAATTTTGTCATTTTATTATGCATTCCAGTTTTGAGTAGAGTGAAAGAGAAAACATTCTAGTACATTTGGTGAAAATGCTAGTTCAATCCAGCAGTAGTGTTGCCATGTGGTACAATCCAGTGGTAGTGGTGTTGCCATGTGGTACACTGAAAAATTGCAATAGCAGGTTAGTCACCAAAGTTTTCGAGCCGCTCCGTCTGTCACTTCGTTTGTGGTTAAGAGGTCGCGCCAACAATTTCAATTTTGTTCGGGATTTTCGTCAAATTAGTATGGGAGAAAATGATGACCAACTAAAATCATTCAAACTTTTTTCCTAATAAACTGATTTGCATGAAATTAAAATATTTTATACTTAAAACTATAATGAACAACTTTGTTGAAGACTGCAAGTCGATTTGATGCTTCAGAAAACAGAAATTGGCTTTCGGAACTCAGATTGCAGGTAAACCTTAATTTGAGCAGAAAAGCAAGTATGCTGATAGGGCATAGTTCATAGTATGCTTTGCCAGATTTTTTTACCTCAATGTTTATAAACATATTGTGCTGTCATCTCTGGATACAATAGTGCCATGGAGTTGAGAAGTGATACGGAGAAGCGGTTGATTGGTCAGCCCATTACCAGGTTTACCGGTGGAAAACTTCCGAGTAACCAAGAAATACTGCAGCTCTTCTTTTTTCATCGCGCAAATCAACGTCACGCCACGTCAAACTTACTAGGTGCAGAATAAGACAGATATTGTATTCTACATACATTTCAGGAATTTAGTTATAAAGAGAATAGGTCTAAGAGATCCAAAATATGTAGAAAAATGATGAAGTTACGGTGATATTACTAAAAATCATTTCTCAAGAGTCAAAACGAACTTTGCGCCACCTCTAAATCTAAGTACGTTTGGTTTGGTAATCTTATATACTTACAGAGATTCGCGGAAGCGGCCATCTTGAGCCAGTCGAGCAGCGAGAACTGTCAAAATGTGAGCCAAACGAGCATAGACGGGTGCACGGATGGATTTAAGTAGAGAGGGTCTTGTATAAGAGAAGAGCGAACTGGCTGATTTTGAGCCAAACTAACTGTCAAAGTCAGAGCCAATCGAGCAGCGCCTATCTTGATTGCATTGGTAGTGTTGCTAGAAACCACCTATGCATAGGTTGCCAAGGCAGTTTGTTTTGAATCTGCTCCTCTCTTATACTAAACCCTCTCTAGATTTGAGTTCACTCCCTTCTCCCTCGAGAAAAAGTGGCACATGCCCGCAGTGTTTACTAATCATGAACACTAATGGCGGTAAGCTCCACCTCGGATTAACTTTTAATTCCGACCCTGTTTGGATGATTTGCCAAATCTCGATGAACATTTCAAATGGTCCTATCTGCTTTGATCGATTCTCTTCATCGACTTTCTCTTTCGTTAATAACTCAGCTGCAAAACCTTTCCCTGTTGTATTTGACGTTTTGGACGCTAGATAAGAACCTCCTTTATCAAACTATGTGGTAGAATTAGCGCGAAATCTGTTTGCATAGCAGCCCGCATAAACGCGAACCATAAATTGACCTTACCTAAAATGGTTAAAAATTGTTTATAATCCCTGCTAAACTTTAACTGAAATGGTTATGGAACTTTACATGAACGTTTAATGATAAAGTTTTAACCTTATGTATTATGGTTTTTTGGAACTGGACCTTACAAATAATGGGTTGTTAAGAACCATTACCGTTCCAAATTCTTGTTTTTTCCATACATTTTCGGAAAGAGAACTATATTAGAACCTTTTAACTTATGGTTTGAGAACTTTAATGGTAATGGTTATGGTAGTCAGTAAGGTCCACGAATGGTTTTGTAACATCGATCAACTTTATGTGGAATATATCGCGAATTGGTTGCCTGTAATTTACTGATTACCAATTCACGATATATTCCACGTAAAGTTGAGCGATAATACAAAACCATTAATGGACCTTACTGACTACCATAACCATTACCATTAATGTTCTCAAATCATAAGTAAAAACGTTCTTATATAGTTCTCTTTCTGAAAATGTATGGAGAAAACAAGAATTTGGAATGGTAATGGTTCTTAACAACCCATTATTTGTAAGGTCCAGTTCCAAAAAACCATAATACATAAGGTTGAAACTTTATCATTAAACGTTCATGTAAAGTTCTATAACCATTTCAGTTAAAGTTTAGCAGGGATTATAAACAATTTTTAACCATTTTAGGTAAGGTCAATTTATGATTCGCGTTTATGCGGGAGTGGTTATGAAAAGAGAAAGTCGATGAAGAGAATCGATCAAAGCAGATAGGACCATTTGAAATGTTCATCGAGAAATGTTTGCTTAGGGTCATGTTAATTAACTCTGATGTTGACGTCAATGCAGCTGTATATTCTTGATAAGTATTTAATCCGAGGAGAATACCTGTTGGAGCTTACAACCATGAATGTTCATTATTCAGCTCCAACCGGAATAATCTTCGGATTAACTCCCGACCACGATTGACAGGCTGTTTTGCTGTTGACGTCGATGGTAATCAATACTATCCTTAACAAATATTTGTCAGATCCTCCAATCAGGGACGGTTTTCACCCTTATGCTTGTCTTCGTTCGAACCGTATTTTCCATACAATTTTGTTGTTGTTTTATATGGAAAATACGGTTAGAGCGAACTTCGAAGTTCAGCGTTTTTCGGAAACGACAACGATAAAGTCATACACAAAGCTGGAACATTTTGCTCCCCGGCAGTTGGGCAGCTTTTGTAAACAAAACAAATCACGTTGTTAAACAGTCTGATAATATTTCCGCGAACCTCTGCAGGATTACTAGTTTGCTTCATGCCCGAGGACATCTCTTTCCAAGTCAATTTGAACTAGAAAAACGAACAAATTTTAGGTTTCATGAACATTAAAAAAAAAGCCGCATCCTATTGTTTATTTATTACTTAATAAATTTCCTTTCTACTATTTACTTTACTTTATTTATATATCTATGTGCGTATATTGAGACTCTTCAGGGATATTGGTTTTCAAAGGCTGTTTTGCCAAAACGCCCTGGGTGACTTTATTTAGTTTTGCATCTTTTTCGTTATGCTTTTCCAATGGTAGCAAACTACAACTTTGGCATAAGCACCCATTTCCGTCATATCGAGAAGAAGAAACCTCAACTATATCAATGATTTCGACGTGACCGAATCAATCATACGTTTGGCAGTTTAGTTCAAAAGCTACAAAACAAAATCTATAAGAACGCAATATATGAATATTTACATCCATTCTTCTCAGCAAAAGAAGCGCTCCAAGCAAATCAATTGCCTTCATCATGCCGAAGTGAATCCATATGACGTTTCAATGTGTTTGGACGGAATTGAAACAACTTTTCGCCTGAATACAAATCTACTGTGTTTTACCTATGTACCATTAGCAACCTCTCAAACTTATGTCTATCAATCGCTTCAAGAACAAGCCATATTTTGTCAATTGACTGCAGAGTTATTAACAAATGAGCAATTTGTGTGAAACATTGAGCATGCCAACCCTGCTTTCTAGTGTGATTCGAGATGTCTTCCGCTGAACACAACACTTACTGTAGGTTAATAAATGTTACGCCTCGTGCGCTGCAGCACTGTATCAAACAGTCAAATGCATATTCCTAAGCTTGCATCTTATCAGAAACAGAATCAAAAAGCATAGACTAGGTATAGTCTAAATATACACAAAATCGCCTTCACCGTACGTACGTTACGTTATACTATCACCAGTCTCAACACGTTGCGCCACATGTTGGTGCTAGAGCGCACCCTTTATCAGAACCAACGACCCGTATTCATATTAATAGAAGATAATAACACTACACATTCGTACAGACTACTCTAATTGACGATAACCATCTGTAGTGGCCGGTAGCCACACATTGGACAATTCAATTATCTCTCGTTTTGTGTATGGGGTGTGGGAGCGTGGTCGTACGTAGAAAAGAAATAATTTATTTCACAGAAAAACCCACTTACCTTCCGATTGTAGATCAGTCACCGTATCCAGAATGCTGGATCCAGATGTCACCACATCTTCGATGATGAGACACTTGTCTCCGGCATTGAACTTTCCTTCGACCAGCTTCTTGGTGCCATAGTTTTTAGCCTCCTTGCGCCGAATCAGCATCGGTTTCTGTGCCTTGATTGAAATCAACGTGGCAATCGGAAGTGCCGTATAAGGAACCCCACACAGATGTGCTCCCATGTCGACTTTGGTTTGCTGGATGAATTCGGTTAGCAGATCCGACACCGTTTCCTTAAAATATGAAACTATGCAGTGAGCTTGTTTGATATCATTCCATTCGCACTTACCATCACATCTGGATAGCTCACGATCACCCGAAGATCGAAATAGACCGGCGAATTGATGCCGACTTTCATTTTGAAATCGCCGAATTTGAAAGCATTGATTTCGAAAAGGCGCAGGCCGAGTTCTTTCAGCTTGGTCTGGTCCATGGTTCTGGAAGAAGAGCCAAGAATTAATCCCTTTGTCAGCACAAATACGGCACAACGTAATATGACTATTATGGTACGTGCACGTGGTTTTCGTGTGGGCAAACAAAATCTCAATAATTGAACTTGGAGCACAAGAACAGTCAAGGTCTAATGGTAAAGCCCTTGGAAAACTGGTTTATTGTGGAACTACCTGTTAGACGCAATGGGAACGAATGAATGAAGATTAGGGTGTGATTCTGACAAGAAAACTGGCACTGATTCTTCCACGGAAACGTCTGCTTGGTAAATGAAATTCCTGTGCCTATGCTTGATTCCACTGGCTGGTTGGTACCTATATTTACTGTTGTACGACGAATGCATACCACAACAACACCATATAGTAACAGTACTATGATGGATCGTTCATGTGTACCGTAGGACGCTCGGCTCACTCTCAGTTGCCGGTGTCCCCCGTCTCCTCCAGTTTGAGTGTGTTGGAATTTGTTTTGGAAATGTGTACGTTACCGAGTGTTACGATATTTTGTATTTGCTGTCATGAACATAATGCTGTGCGAACACTTTAATACATACAATGCATACGTAGTACCTCATAAACACTACAGCCTATATTACGTGATAATATCATATTATAGCCTATCTTGATGCCAGAATCCATACTATACATTTCGTTTGTTATCAAGATACTGTAGTGTGAACGGGGTATAAAGTGCCTCCAGTGCACAGTGGGTCAGGAATGAAATCTAGCAGGAAACAAATACTAACGCTCTGGGATTGCATCCAATTGAGTGGACATCTGCAGTGAAGTTTCTTAAATTATTTAGGACTACAATTTGGTGAATAAAAATAATTCATGTTTCGGACGCAAAGCTGGCGAGTGATACAATTTTGGGGCTGTTCATTGACTTCTCGACGCAAGATCTTACTAATACAACCTAGCTAGTGTAGCCGTGTAAAATCGATTTGTTTATTATTTTCAACCACGAAATCAGCTGTCAAAGTTCGACTAAAAATCTCTAGATTAAAAAAAAAGCTGTCGAAGTGTTTGATCAACCAGTAAAACGCATGTATTCGTGAAACTGCTCACTAATACTAACGGTGGTGGAGAACTCTATTAATAAACAACCCCAAAATTGTATCGCTGCGCCATCTTTGCGGCCAAATATACGCAGACAGATTTTTGGGATTCTTGAACCCCTCCCCCTGCGTAGACAATTGTCCATACACTATTATTTTTATTAATTTGTATGGTCCGTAAATAATTGCCAACCCCCCTAAATTGTCTACGTTGTTAACGAACTGCCCTTTCTATTTCGCAAAATAGAGGTCTGCAGTCTTCTGCAAAGTTGTAGAACGTAATATTTTATAGAAAGTTGCCAAAAACATAAAAGTTGTACATTTTCTAAAAACTGAGATATACGAAGTTTTATAAAATTTGCACGAAATTTTAAACATTAATAAAAAAATATGATATTTCCTCTCCTTCTTCTTCTTCTTCCTTCCTTCCTTTATTTAACGTCGGTCTCTGTTCCGCAATCTAGTGCCAATCACCGACGGACATTGATTGCCATCCATAGACGACATACGAATGTGCAGGAAGGCAGCTTCCACACCTGTGTAGAATATCGCACCCATTCAAACACATATGGGCCGGGACCAACGACTTTACTTTCCTTCCGAAGGAAGACGTGACCAGAGATTTTTATGCCTCAGAAAAATCCCACCGACCTCGGCTGGGATTGAACCCAGACCCATTGGGGTGAGAAAGCAGTCACGCTTACCACTACAGCACCGGCGCCGGCTGATATTTCCTTGATCGGCACTAATGAATTCAATCTTTCCCAGATCAACACAATTAGGAAATTTGAAAAAGTATAAGAGTCTGTGCCTAGGGGCGCGAACGGAAGCTTGACGTAGAACCACTAGTAGACGGAACAAATGTGAAGAGCAGTTAGTTCTTTTAATTGATCGATCATCTATTATCTTAACTCTTTCCGTTTTTGAATTGTTGGCGTACCAAATTTGTAGTAATTTTTTTCAAAGAAAAAATTGATGAAGAGAATCGATCAAAATCACTTGCATCTCTGCTTCCAAGTTTGGTTACAAGATTACAACTCTGGACAGCATTTTGTTTGCTCGTTTGTGGTTCTGAATATGGAAAAACAGATAAATTATATTCCAACTCTTAACTGTAATAAGCTTGTTGGCCCTGAAAAGGGCTGTTTCGTTGCCAAAGTTGGTGATGATTTAATCTCCGAAGCCGTACAGAGTGCGTCTGTCGCTTCAAAGCGTAGATCACATCCATGGCCGCTTACGCTTGGCGTGTTCATTGTAGGTGACAGCATCACTGATCTCATTTTCCAGGAACACCTTCAGCACACCTCGTAGATCAGACCGGAGATACGATTGACACCGCCACGGCGAACCAGACGACGGAGGGCGGTTATCACGAAGAACCTTGTGATGACGGTTGACGCCTTCTTTACCAACGCCTTTTCCTTCTTTACCACGACCAGTCATTGTTGCTTGTTAGGTAGAAGAGTGGACTACCTAACCTGCCACCACCTTCCTACTGATGCTATTGCCACAAACGAAGTGACAGACGACTATCTGGCGAAGAAATCAATTAAAATAATGTGGTTCGCTGTAATAGAATTTTCTTAGAAGCTTTTGCCATCATCCACCAGATGGGATAGTATTTTTGTTTTGATTTGAACATAGTTGGTTTTGTGTGCAATATGATCTTTGACAGTGTGCAAAGAGTGTATCATTTTGTCATTTTTTTATGCATTTCAGTTTTGAGTAGAGTGAAAGAGATAGAACCAAAACATTCTAATACATTTGGTGAAAATGCTAGTACAATCCAGTAGTAGTGTTGGCATGTGGTACAATCTAGTAGTAGTGGTGTTGCCATGTGGTAACACTGAAAAATTGAAATAGCAGGTTAGTCACCAAAGTTTTCGAGCCGCTCTGTCACTTCGTTTGTGGTTGTGCTAAGTGCTACACCTCAATTGGAAACGGACTTGTTCCGCTTGATGATGTTAGTAACCCGTGCGAGCTGGTGGATGGTAGAGTGGCCTTTCCTAAACCCGAATTGCTATTTGAGAAAGATGTTATTATCATTTGAAAACACCAGCAGACGGCTGAGTATCAACTTTTCGAATAGCTTCGAGATGGAGGACAAGAGGCTGATGGGGCGATAGCTTTTGGCACTGGTAGGATCTTTGCCAGGCTTGTGTATTGGAATCACTTTGGCTAACTTCCAGCATGCAGTAGCCAAGCTCCAAACATTTGTTGATGGTTGATGGTTGATGATGTAAGATGGTTGAAGAAGTCAATACTCAAGTTTTTCAACTCGAGGTTGACTACACCATCCATACCCGCAGCCTTCATGTTTTTAGTACTTCTAATAGCTGCTATCACCTCATCAGCCGATATTCTACTATGATCATGCACTACTGCGGGGGTGTCAGCGACTCTAGTCATTGCAGGCCCATGGGGGCTCACCATGGTTTAACCAAGATTATGTGAAATCACAAAATGTTGGCCAAGAGCATTTAGGTTATGAGTAGGGATGGGTCTAAGTTCTGGTCAACAAAGGAAAGCGGAGGGATCGGTCTCGACTTATTTTTCAAAATTTTGGTCATCTTCCAAAATGGTTTTGCACAATCTGGGAGAGAGCGAATCTTATTGGTAAAGTCGTTATTTCTGAGCATCCTGGCCTGGATAATTTTGGTTAGCCTATTGACATTGATCTTCAAGTGGGGCAGCCCAGAACGCTGGAACTGGAACGCTGTGTTACGGAGCCTGATAAGATCTTTGGTTGGGCTGTCAAGGTTCAGAGTATGACTCACCTGTCTGGATGCTGGTACGTGTTGCTCCCTGGCACGAGATATCGCCTTTTCGATGGCTTGCAGACACTGATCGACTTCTTCGTACGACTCCGGTAGGACATCGTAGTTGATTGCTGTGTCCACACAGCGCTGATACTGCTGCCAGTTGACACGATGGTAATTTCGCCGGGAAACTTGAAACCTATTGGCCGAGGAACCTACTTCGGCCACCACCGGATAGTGGTCCGAGCTCAGTTCCTGATAGGCGATAGGTTGGGAGATGTTATCGCCAATGTTGTTGATGAAGATGTCGATGGTGGCATGAGCTCCGAATCGACTCAACCGGGTGGGAGTGTCCGGACACAGAATGTTGTAGTGGGCTTGCTGCAGATCGTTGTGTTGAGCCTAGACAGCAGCGCTCTTTTTATATCTTTTTAGGTTAAAACAGAATGATGTGCAACCAAGTGGTGCTCGATTATGACGACTGCACTAATAATATTCCACACATTTTTTATTGACTAATTTCCATGTGAAATTCCATATGAATTTCATGTGACCACACATAAACAGAATCCACCCAGAAGCACACATGAAATTTATGAGTCAAATGAATTGTATGTGTGGTTACACATGGCTTTTATGTGTACACATAATAAGTATGTGTCCGACACATCATTTGTTGATCACATTGCAAAAATTCATGTGTGAGACACATACAAATAATCTTTGAAATTTTATCAGTGTGGGTTTGGCAAGAACATTTATTTCATGAAAACAGTGATTAAATTATCACTTTTTATTTGTACATTGGACAATGCGACATTATCACTTTTTCAATAAATTCTTGTTGAAAATTATCAGTCGGAAGCAGTTTTGTGAAAATATCAAAAGATCTTATCTCACCAATGTGCATAATCTCATTTGAGTATCGTAAACCAAAAACTGAACACGCAAACAACAGTCGATGATATTACAAGCTGTGATACGGTTGCTATAATATCATGCTAACAAAACTCCCCGGCTACAATTCTCACCAAACTGTGTTGAGTTTGAGCTTCAAGATTTTTGCTGTACATCCGAACACGAAACGAAGCTTTCCATCACTGCTGGCAGCAGTAACTTCGTGTCTGCCATCTGTGAAGCATAAAGAAAGATAGCAAACTATGCTTTCTCTTTCTAAGAAAACGATGTGCAAAGGAATCATTTTTGTGGTAAGTCAACTCGTGGCTGCAATTTTACATGTTCTGAATAGTCTCGCAATATCAAAGGAGCTTGTAAAAATAATATCATGCTTGATATTTTATTCCAATATCATGCGTGATATTGGGAGCCCTTGAGAGCGAAACAAAATCAATTGAGTGAGGATTATGCCATCACTGGTCGGAAGCATTGCTATTGATGCGTTCAAATATTTCTGATTGATTGGGATAAAATTATTGAAATTGGACCAGGGGCAGCTGAGTTATTAATGTTCAAAATCTTTCAATATTTTGTTACATTTTCCATTTTCGGTTTGCACAAAGTGTACACCCATATAGAAATCACAGACGTAGTCCTACGTAAAAAAAAAAAAAAACAAATTATTTTCTGAATGAATTTTCTAAAAAATATGCAAGTGAGCAAAAATTGTCATGTGTTATTCAAAATGTACATCACATAGACTATAAATCCTCAAAATGCTTCAGAGATATATTTGTGATATTTGAATTTGAATCAAACAATATATTTTATTTAAACAACTGCAACTCATATTATTGTATTAAGGGTGTGGATCGCCGCCATTGAAAAAAGCTAAGTGTCCAGGAGACTTTCGGTTCCCCGGCTAACCGTTAAGGATCCATCTGAAACGCGCCGTTATCGCTGCAGTGGCTTAACCAATAGAGCCAGTCTCGCCACTTCAGCTAATCTCCAAGGAAGGACGATGCAGGCAGAGCCAGAGGTAAGTTCTCCTGGGCAGAAACACCGCGGTGTCTGCCGGGGTTGCCTACGGCGAGTAGGCAATCCGGTGATTCGTAACCAACGTCGCCGGAGGGGTCTGACAGACGAGCCCCGCTAAGTGTCACGGACAGCTGCTAAGCAGCCGAAGAAGAAAACAGTTCAGCACAGTCCGTGGTTTGTAACAGCCTACCGAACACTAGCAGCAACACCGAGGAGGAGGACATATCTAAGTAGCTAATAGTCTAAAATTGATTCCTTCTTGTCGTTTTGTTGCTTCACCCTGATCCAAACGACTTTGTGGAAAGTACCCTTGCTCGAGGCAGCCTATAGGGTAAGCCTTATCTTACAAGCTTCAACCATGTATGGACGGACACTTGAGCCTATTCAGGGGAGGACCCGGGGGGCATGAAGTAGTTCGCCTCCTCGTGGTGTGCCCTGGAAACGTTAATTATCGAACCCAAGTGAGAGATATTGCGGCTAAACGAACTACCGCAGAGTAGGGACGCTGGAACCCCATCCAGCTCGTCCCAGGAGGTTGAGAAGCCCAGCACAAACCCTCGTTGTGCAAAGGCAGGAGTGACGCCGGGTTCTTAGAGTGCTTAGCACACGCAGCTGGTAAGCGGTCACATCTGTCCTGTATGGGTCCAGGACAGTTGGCTGGCTATCACGTCTGCTCTAGAACTCAGGCGAACAACGAACAGCGAACAACTAGAGGAAGGCCCTGCACAGCTGCTCACTGTGCAGTAGCGAGTGTCACGTCGGACACAACACCTAGTGATGCGCCATAGCGCAACCGGCCCCCTCCCATGACGCAATGCTTTCGGGCGGTTCCGGGGAGGGCAAGGGCCTAGAGCACAGGGTAAGGTTTAGTGGGTCGGGAGAGCTACTTATCCCATCCCCACACCCTGAGTTATCTTCTCAGGTGTCTGGGAGCAGATTCCCCCCTGTATAAAAAAAAGGGGGAGGACCCGGATGCGACCACCCATGTGAGTGTAGAGTATCCCAGAAGTTGACAAGTGCAACGGGAAGGACGGTAGGTACATAGACCTGTTGGTTGTTCCCAAGTTCAAAACAATATTAAAAGTTTTGAAATAAGCCGACATTCAAAGTCGTTAATTGAAGATTAAATTTTCAAAATTTAAAATACTGTTCCTATCCCATTCAAAGGTTCCAAACATATTGAGCAGTGATGGAAATTATCATGACACTCACTCGACACTCGTCAACGCATCAATCGACTATCGCTAACAGAACATTTTGTTACGCAGTGAGAGGTAGAGCCATGGCAAACAACAATCACCAGTAATGGTCGCTGCTCACAGGCTAAACGTAACACTCACTGCTGATGTTAAAAAGCACAACAAAAACAGTGAAGACTTCTGCAGTACGATGATGAGAAAAAGCAGAAACGACAAAAGAAATCACGTGCAACTGTGTGAGTTACAAAGAAAGATGGCAAAATTAATGTGGTGTTTACACTTAGGCTAGTTCACTAGCGCTAATGAGCTCGCTGCTAGCAAAAACGCTCACCAGCATAATGTAAACAGGGCATCAGCATCTACCAGCATGAAATTTCAGAAGCAACTGAAATTTGTGCTAGTTGGCGAGTACAGATGTAAACACCCCATAAACGCAAGCTGTTGAGCTCACTCACCAACTCACTCACATCAGCAAGCATAGCAGCAACTGCTTCAAAACGAGCACATATGAGTGTCGTGATTGTCGGGAATGACCAGATCGATGATGGATCACCTCCGAAGACCGACTTGCATTGCTGAGCCTTTTCAATCCCTACCTGAGCCTAGTTCCAGACTTCTAACGTATCCTGAAAGCTACTCTCCTAATGTCTCGCAATTAGCAATCTTCTTTCTCGAAATTCATCAGCAGGGTTCACAACATACATTTGAAAGCAATTACTCATTTCATGGAGCTAAACTAGCCTTTGGCTAAAAATCTCGTTAAAAAAAGTTGAACATTTCAAAGGTGAACTAAAGGAAAAGACCAGATGCAGGGCTGCTTCGGACAAATTCTAATCTCGCTGTGGTAGCCTCGATTAATTTACTTCACTATAGCAATAACTTGCCTTGTTGCTAAAGAAGCATAAGGTACTCGCTACCGTTCCATACCAACAAAACCTCGTGCCAGTATAAAATTCTCCGCTGAATCGCTTCTGCTCGCTCTGGGTTTGATTCGTTTGACCTGTTGGTAGTACTTTTGCATATTTTTCTCCAAAGTCGGAACCTCTCCATTGTCCCAGATTTTGACTAGCAGTGATGCATCCGGCGAGGACATCAGAATCGCAAACCGTAGCACCGAATAGCAGAGAGTGATAATGTTCTCCTGATCGAGGGAGCGTACACCGGTAGCATTAGGAGCCATATCGGAAAGAACGCAGTCCACCTGTCTTTCGCCCAGCAATGAACGGATTTTGTCTTGCGCTTCCTGCTTTGTGAAATCCGTGTTACCCAGCATTATGGCATGCTAAAAGACAGAGTGGTATTAGGAGCTTTGAAACAAGCTTATTTGTAATATTTACCGCAATGGGATATATCTGCAGCAGATCAATCCCTACCACCACACCCTTAGGTTTATCTGGTTTGGAACCATCGGCATTAGATTGCCGTACTGCCAGTTGAGACCATGAACCTGGTGCAGCACCACAATCGATGACCGTGAAGCCAGGTTTTATAATGTTATACTTCTGATCAATTTCCAACAATTTAAAGGCACTTCGACATCTGAAAAATAGTAGTTTTCAGTAATAACTACTGTACGGACAGCTCCTCCAAACCCAGCAGCATCAACGCTTACCGGTAGTTCAACATCTTCGCTCTCTCCACAAAGGGATCGTTCAACTGGCGGGTGATCCATTGCTGAGAACTTTTCGATTTACCTTTTAAATTGCTGGGAACCACTTTTGCTAGTGACTGAGCAGAACTATGCAAGCGTCTAATGAACATTTTTTAATCTATCATGCACGCAGTTTTATTATGAAAAAAAAAAATGTAGTAAATTTAGTTATACCTAATCGGAAACAAAACCGATTGACGAACAACCATTCAACCAGTTCAACCTCAACCAAACCAAAGCAAAACAAAACAAAAACGATCTCGTATGCATGCCGTCAAATGACATTTGTGGAGTAAATTATGATTAGGGCGAAACTAGCCAAATGTAATCAAATCAGGGGAGACATGTCAGAAGGGTCTAACTCGAAACGTAAACAATGACTTGGATCGTCGGTTTCTTACGAATGACAACACATCCACTGAAACCTCGACTGAAACTAACTAAATCATCTGACAGAGAAATTAATGTTTGTTCTACACAGCAAAAAAAGTTGTTGAATATTACATCGAAACTGCTGCGTAATATCACATTATACGATGTACATCGATTTTGCGAACAAAATTACATCCATTGATGTAATATTGTATCTGCTTTTTGCTATTACATCATTATTTCATACATCAGCTTGAATTACGTTGATCGATATTACATTTTTTTTTGCTGTGTATGAGCTGGTGTAGTCAGATTCCGTGGGATGGTGGTCATTCAAGAGAAATCGACGTTCAACACGGAACCGAATTTTGTTCATTTAAATCATTCTATAAACATATGAATAATTCAAAATAAATTAAGAACATGTTTGCAACAAAAATATATATGTTTGAATTAAAGTCAAAAGCATGTTTATTTCAACAAGATAGAATTTGGGTAAACGATTTTTAGCGTGCCCTGCCTTTTTTCCTTCTTGTTTACATTCGGAAAAATATTGCCCCAGCTTTGCCAATCAACTGAAAACGGCCCGCAACAAAACCGAAGTCATCACGCAGAAAAAACTATCGTCGTAACAAAAATATTTGAGGTAAATTTAAATGTAAACTCAGTTTGTTCTGGCCACAAACATAAATTAGGTTGATTTCAAACGTATTCCATGTTTGAAGTCATGTGAAATCAATGTTTAAAATAAAAATAATGTTACGTTTATTTCAAAAATATTCGTGTTGAAAATAAACGTATTTATTTTTGTTTGGTTTGATACCCTAATAAAAATTGTATGGGTAATTTGCTTAACGACGTGTTCTGGGTATCATCCAAACCATTTGTGAAATAGTTCAATGATTTGGGTTATCGTTCGTTTATGGTTATTTTTTATTAGGGTAGCTATGCGAACAATAATAAATATGTTTATTTTAAACATGCTTCTCATGTTTAAAATAAACATACATATTTTGGAATTATTTGAGTAGTTGAGTGCAGGGTAAAGCAAAATAAAACGGAAAGAAATGAAAAAAAAAGATCTTCGGGCCTTCGGGCAGGGCATCTTAATTCCTGCTCTTTTCGGGTGCGATTAAGGGTGACCTGTGGGTATTGGCGTTGACGGCGACTCTGTAGCTCTTTACTCCTATGAGAAAATCCATAAGCAAACGTCAGACTGTGCGTGAAACATGGCGGACTTTGTACTATCCTTTCACTCCACCGAAAATTCCCATAAGAAACTGTCTATATTTGCTGAAAGAGCAAATTTTTCGACGGTGCCGTTAACGCCAATTGGGGTCCTGGTCCGGGATGCGAGGACCCGTCGGGGTGGGTGTCCGGGGGTTCCAGTTCAGGGGAACCGGTGCAAATTTGTGTTATTACACACAAAAAACAAAAATTGTATCATTAAAAATACTGACCTTTCAATTTAAAAGTATCCACTAATTCGTTATTCTAGCAATGACAACATTTAATACAACTAGGTAGTTTTCAATTTAAAAGTAAATGTTATGTTTTTGTCTTGTAGTTCTAAAAGTGCAAATTTTCAGATCGAAAATTGTTGAGCTGTCAAAATCACTTCTTCATTGGGTGGACTTTTACTCATTTATGAGTAGTTTTAGAATAGTGTGAGTGCATAAAGAGCGAAAACAGTCACGTGTGTGTACACGCTCGTTTATTTTTACTCTAAAGTGAGTAACTTCTACTCAGTTTGGTATTTTTATTCAAAATGTCAAAAACTGAGTAACATTGATTTAGCAAACTGAGTAACATTAACTCTGTTTATCTTAAATCAATGATTACTCACTTTAGAGTAACCATCCAAAAAATTACTCATCGTGCATTTGTCAAAGAGTTACAAAATGTTCGTAGTCCCCGTTTTTTCTTCAATCATGAAATTCTTATAGATATAATAATTTAAAATTGTAGAATCAACATCGACGAGCATTGCAGCATCTTCAGAAACCAACTATTTCGAAACCAAACAGGAACCATTGCAGAACAAAGAGGATGTGTGGATTTTGCAGCAGAAGGAAATTTTGGACCTGGCGAAAGAGGAACATTAGGCAAGATGCCAATCAACTATTGTGTAGGATCGAGAGACGTTCGAATGATCTCAATGTCTGGAGCAATTCAATCGCCAGCATTACTTTGCACTTCATACTCGACTTTATATCAACAAGCCAGAAGGTAGATTTCTTTAAACTGATTTTGTGACCGATGATATGTAGAAAGTTCGAATCAACTTTCAGAGGACTGATGTACCAATGTTCTCCATATGAGAAGTCTTCAAAATTAATGGTATCTTTGCAATGTAACGATATGTAACCTTAATGTTATTATTTTATCTTTTAATAAATGTGTTGTTTACTTTTCTCACATTCTCTAAATGTCAATTCAAATTACTCATTTTAAATACCGATATATTTTACAAGAATTGAGTAACATTCACTCAGTTTTGCTAATTTCCCGAAAACCGGAACTGAGTAGAAGTTACTCTGAATTTGACAAATGCATCCATTACTCAAAAGTGCACTATAGGGCTTTAGCCTTAATACGTACGAACGTCAAATGACGTTTCGGTGCTTAGACAGCTAAAAGATTATCGATGGGAACACTTTTCCATTCATATTTTAGTTCTTTCCAGCCATTCAATCAAATCAGACCTAAAATCGAGTTTCGCGTGTTTATTTTTCCATTTGAAGTAGGAAAAAAAAAACATTCAATAGAAAAAAAACAGTGTTTTGTGATCAACTGCAGCATTAATCTGCAATTTTGGTACTTCTAAAAGGAATCTGTCGTTGTGCGGTGTAATGAATCGTATTCGAGCAAACCAACAAAGGTTGTTGTTTTCGGTTATTATTTGTGGAAAATTATTGCATTTCCATCATCGTCATCAAAGATCCATGTGGGAATAAAAAAAGGGGGAAGAAAAAGTTCCTCAAGTTTAAGCCAGTGCTGTTGTTGTGTTTGCAGCGTGTTGTATGTGTAGTGGGTGGTTTTAGTAGTTGTTTGTGAAATTAAGGCTAAAAGTGGACAAAATGATTCTACGGTGGAAAAGGATTAACAAAATGTTACCTTTGTTGCTTATGCTGCTATTGCTCCTTGGGGCGCACAGTGAAAATGCGTCAAAGCGAAATGAGGTGAGTTGGAAGATCAAGATTTTTTTCCACGCTGCACAGAATGCTCTACTACATGACGTTCCCAACATTTCATTAGGGCTAAACTGATTGTGTAAGCATTGACTTCAACCGCCGATTTCTCGCAAATAAAAGCTCACTCCTGCTAATTAACCATACCAGCTGGTAAAGGAAACATTCCTCTATTTGACGGTGTTGTTTGTTTGCATGTGCGAGCTATTATTCGCGAGAAATCGACGGCTAAAGCCATTGTTTACAAAAGCGTTTTGCCCTTTTTGAATGTTGATGAAGAATGATTGTAATTATTGCTCTGTTGGCAGACTGTGAACTGGAGGAGATAAGCAAGGGAAAAGCTATTTAGGGTAAGTGTTCCAGTAATCGTGCTGTACTTATAGATGCGGCATGGGGTTTATGCCATAATAATGGCGGAAAACCAGATAAATTTATTTTTCATAGGAAACTCTTCTAAAATAAAATTAGGTTTGCATACTTAAAACTTGAATTTAGCCTTAAAATAAAGGAAAACAATTAATTTCCTTAAGGTTTTGGCTCCTTTGTACCAATAATAGTTGCAATAGTGTTCCTTTAATAGTGGAATCCATTAGAAATCATTGCGTTCCACTATTATAGGAACTGAAGTTAGCAATCATGTACCACAGCTATTGGAACAGTGTTCCTATTAATGGAGGACGAGTTTTCGAAAATAAAAGTGCAATTTAAATACAATGTAATATTTTTCAAGAAAAATAGACATAGATTGACGAATACAAATTATATTCATATAGTTTATTTATTTTTTAATAAATGAATTTTCACTGCTGGATCACCCACCCTACTTGTGCGCAGAATTTTAGTTGGCAAGAAGATGATGAAATAGTCGTGAAAGAGAATAGGTGTAAAAATGTGCGTCATCTCTGTCTTCTTTATGGACCGGTTTTTTTTTGGGATTTTTTTTTCTAGTTTTGCGTTGTTTAGATTTGAGTCTTTTTAAATCCAAATATTGATTGGGAAACCCAATATGCTATACGAAGTATTTCTACATTTTTGTTTTGACCTTCTCAATACTGTTTATTTTCAGGATTGCACTGCTGTTGCAAAAGACGAAGAAACCTTGCTGGTTTTCTCCACCCTTGGTGGTGGGCTGACTGCCATTGATCCTATCACCGGTGAGATTCGATGGTCAATTGCAGATGAACCGGCCATCCGGGTGCCATCTCTGTCGGAGATGAATCCACATTACTTGCCGGATCCACGCGATGGCAGTCTCTACACGTATCGGAATCCCGAGGGAGGCCTAAAAAAGCTACCCTACACCATTCCACAGTTGGTGGCGAATGCACCGTGTCGGTCCAGCGATGGTATTCTCTATTCGGGCAAGAAAAGCGACGACTGGTTCCTGATCGATCCCAAAACGGGAAGGCGTGAAAAAGTTCTTGGATTCGGAACCCCTGTAGACCGGGAGAAAGCCGAATCTATTGGGTGGGCCACTTCGCGGTCCGTCTACCTTGGGCGAACCCAGTACACCGTCATGATGTACGACAGCATGACCTCCGATCGAAATTCAAAGCCGTGGAATGTGACGTTTTTCGACTACACTTCGCACACCATGGCTCCGGAACTGACGCAGGAGTACGGTATGTTTTCCATGAGTAGCACGCATGCTAGATAAGAATTGCTGTTTTTTCGTTTACGTGAGTGGTAACCAACCTTTTCGGAACGCTGAAAAATTTCTAGGAAACAGTCGATAAGAGGGCGTATTGATTGTATGTACGCCATCTTCTCCGTCGTACCAGTAGGGTGTTGTAAATGTTTTAGCAACTCGCTGGTTCCATGTGCTCGCTTGCCGCTTGGGGCGTTGAAGTGGTGCACTTTTTCCAGTGTCAGATCATGAATACTGGTGCAGTTGAGGTTTCCCCTTATTTCTTTAACATAATGTTCTGTTTGCTCTCGGTTATCAGCGCCTAGAATTCGATTAAATAATTGTGTGAGGTCGCATTAGTCTTGGTAATCCGGTTTATCGGAGTTATGGCTATGAGTGCAGTCGTGAAGGTAGTTGTGACGACTGAAATAGGCTATTAGAAACAGGCCCGTTTAATGTGCGTCTTACCCTTGGTATATTTTGCAAATAGTTCGTGAGAGTGACCAAGAAAACGTTTCGTTCGGAAACACAATCATGTTAGTAGACATAACGGCTTCTTTTGTTGGTGACGGATTACATTCATTTTCAGTGATAGTTTAATATTTTTCTCATACAAGCATGTACAATTTTGACAATTTTAAGAGGGAAATCCAGAACGTTCAGCGAACTTGAGAAGGTGATGTTCGAAGGCCTGCAAAAGCGAGTTGAGATACTTTCGATAGCAGCTCGATCACCACAAACAAAACCATTAGAAGTGTCTGTGACCTAGGGGCACGAAAGGAAGGTTGACGTAGGAACGCGATCGGACGTAGTAGGGATGTCGGTTAATCATTCAATTAGTTCAAATATCCGAATATTAAAAATTATAAACGAATAATAGGCAAAATCAAAATATGAATAAATCGTATAACTACGGGCGATAAATGCGTATGATATAAAAAATCCAGGCACCGGCAAATTTAATCTGTTAGGAATGGTTGGCTCATATAAGCTCACCTCCTACGATTGGCTGTGTAATCAAATGAATGTTATGAATTGGGTTGTTAGTGGAATGTTCACATGAGCAAAAAAGGTGATTATTTTCCACTTAGTATTTTGTATCCATGATAGATACGTATTTCGGCTACAATTACCACTGGGGAAAAACACTGATTGAAGCGAAATGCGTATTTGTCATGGATACAAAATACTTAAGGGGGTATTCCCGATCTTTTTTTTTTCAAAATATCAAATTTTTTTTTTCACGTTTTTTTGTACTTTAGACTATATACTTTCATCCCCCCAAGCCGTTTTCCGATCAGCGAATTCGGTGTCCAGGCATAGCTGACTAATGGTAAGAACCCCCAAATGGTTTTAACTGAAGTCAAAACTTTAAACGCGTTTTTCTCGAAACCACATTTTTTTTATCGGGCGAAGATTTTTCTCAGAAACTATAAGAGATATTGACTTGAATCTTTGCGCATTTTCTTTCTTATTAAATTCTTTGGAGCTTCTCCCATTTTCAGCCAAAAATATTAACATTTAACATTGTTTGAAGCACCTTAAAGCTGCAAAAAAGCGGGCTAAAAATCGCCTGTTTTTTCATATGGCCGCCATTTTGTTAATTTGCAAGATTTTTTGCTGCCAACGGGAGAAGCTCCAGAGAATCTTATGCAGATTATTAATTTCATCACGAAATCTGTTTCAGATGAAGCCGTTCCAGAGAAAAGTCTTCGCCCGTCCAGGCGTTTGCGGCGAACAGGGGTCTGTTTGCCGCCATTTTGTGACGTCAATAATGTCTTTTTTTATGTCGGAAAAAATTTATTTGTAAACTTTAATGTTCAATAAACAAGAATCCCAAAGAGTTAGGCGCATTACTATTCATTTTCCTTTAAAATAATTAATTGAAAAACAGGCCGAAAAAAGGCAAAAGATTGGGAATACCCCCTTAAGTGGAATTAAATGGGAAATAATCGCCTTTTTTGCTCTTGTTTATTTGTTTATTTGTTATGGTTGCATCAACAGACTAGAAATAGTCCCAATGATGTGTTGTAAAAAATACAGATTATACAGACGACATACATATACTACAGTTACTACAGTTACAAACGAAAATAACTTGGAAAGCATTGTCAAGTTACTAAAAATTTATAAGTCTTAAATTTTACACTTAGCTGTTGGGTATCAAGCGCCTTCGGTCAGCAAAAAAGGCAGAGAATCTTCGGCGAAGCATATTCCGTGTCAAGTGGAAATCGAACATCGACGCTACTCGGTTTAACACTAGCTGCAAGCCGTAAATAGCGCTCCCTATGCTATAATTAGTTCGAAGAAGTGGAAGTCTCAGCATAAGACTGTTGCGTAGTGATCGAGGTTGAACATTAATGTTCACTTGTTGCAGAATTGCTTCGTAGTCAATTCTTCCTTGCAGAGTATCGGCGACGGTTAAGGCTCTGAAAACATCTCTTCGGATACGTAAGGGCTCGATATTGATCAATTGGCAGCGATTCTCGTAGCTTGGAAGACGAAGTGGGTATCTCCAAGGCAGCTTACGGAGCGCGAAGCGAAGAAAACGTCGTTGAACAGATTCAATTCGCTCGGCCCCATTATTGTAGTTCGGGCTCCAGACAGCAGAGCAGTATTCCAACGTAGATCGTACGAGAGAGCAATAGAGCGATTTCAAGCAGTAAATGTCCGTGAAGTTCTTAGTAATCTTGAAGACAAAGCCAAGCGTTCTGGACGCTTTGTCGACGACATACGATATATGGTGTGAGTATGTCAGCTTTGAGTCTAGAAAAACGCCTAAGTCTTTCACGCAGTGCACCCGTTCGATAGTCGTGCCTAGTAGTTTGTAGTTGAAAATAATCGGTTGTTTCTTGCGTGAGAAAGTAATAACTGTACACTTAGCTGGGTTGACCACCAGTCGGTTTAGACTACACCAGTCAGCAAAGATGTCAATCTGATTTTGGAGAGAACGGCAGTCGGCGAGTGAGCTGATGCGCAGAAAAACTTTCAGATCGTCTGCAAACGATAATCGTGGCTCTGTGATAACATGGTGAACGTCGTCGAAGTAGAGGAGAAATACCAATGGTCCCAGATGGCTGCCCTGAGGTATACCGGACTTTGCGCAGAAGCTTGCTGAGCGACAAGTACCCAAAGTTACTGTCAATTGGCGCTCCGTAAGGTATGAACGAAACCATCTCAAAAGATTTCCACCGATCCCTAGTCTATCAAGCTTAGCGATCGCAATTTCGTGGTTCAGCTTATCGAAGGCTGCCGTAAGATCTGTGTAGATAACGTCCGTTTGGGTCCGAGCAATCAAACTGTCTGTGATGTAAGACGTTAGGCACAGCAGGTTCGTAGTTGTGGAACGCCCAGTTATGAATCCGTGTTGATCTGTACTTAGATATTGCCTGCAATGCGCATTTAGGGACTCTATGACAACCAATTCAAAAAGTTTTGATACAGTTCAATTCAATTACAGACAACCAATTCAAAAAGTTTTGATACAGCACTCAGCGATGTGATTCCTCGGTAGTTGTTTACGTCGCGTTTGCTTCCCTTTTTATGAACAGGAAACATATCCGCAGTCTTCCAGCAAGACGGAAAGATGCCGCTGGAAAGAGAGAGCTGGAATATGCGGCGCAGTGGATCTAAAAGACAAGTGATGTTCTTTTTAAGAATAATCGACGGAACACCATCGGGTCCAGCCTTAGTTGAAGTCTTAAGTTTAGATGCTGCTCTAGAAATCGTATCTGTAGTGGCTTCGACCATGCTGAGCGTTTGGTTGATCAAAGGAACATTACTGGCCGCGGAAGTAATGATATTAGCGGAGAGTTGCTCGGCTACAAACACACTAGCAAATTTGGCTGAGAACAGGTTGCAAATGTCTTGTTGATTTCCAGCAGTTTCACCATTAAAAATCATGGAAGAGGGTAAGCCGACTTCCCTGCGTTGCTCATTTACGAAGTTCCAGAAGGATTTCGGGTGTGATTTTAGCCGCCGTTGAATCCTCCTTTGATAGCGTTGAAAACAGAGACGACTTAACCGCTTATACTCGTGGTTGAGTCTGACATAGTAGCATTTCAGTGGCAGTGTGCGGAGTTTAGTAAATCTTCTGAGAGCAGCCTTCTTAGTTCTTTTCAACGAGCGAAGATCTTTCGTCATCCACGGGACGCGAGAGTCGATATGGATGATCTTTTTGGAAACGTGTCTGTCAATGACATATGCCAAGACGTGAGAAAAGGTTTGTGCAGCAATGTTGACGTCTACAGGATCTAGAATATGCTCCCAATCTAGATTAGACAGCACATGGACGATACTGCAATGGTCAGCTCTACGGAAGTCATATGACACAGCGTTTGGAGTGCTGGTGAAATCATGGACAATATTATTTTCGATCACGATAACTAAAGCAGGGTGATGATGCACTACCTTGACTAAAGGTTCGGGTGCCGTGGAGAGGAAAGGAGCTGTATCACGAGCACTCACAAAGCAGAGATCCAGGGTGCGGTTGTTTTCATTCAACAGGCCATTGATTTGTGACAGAATTGCGGTACTATAACTGTCCAGGAGCTGGATGGTTCCTACGTGGAAAGATGAACGCTCGTGATCAGGACAAAAGAAACCACTATGGGTTGGAGTCCATGCAATGTCCGGTAGGTTAAAATCGCCAAGAACAATAACTTCGTCGGAAGGGCCTGCTTTGTCTGAAGCGGCCAAGACGGATCGACAATGTGCGTCAATAAGCTCCAAGTCACGGGTTCGATCTGGAGGAATGTACACTGCACAGAGAAGCAATTGACGATCACCAAGTTGAATAGCCACCCACATTTGTTCAACCCTGTTCCAGGAATCGTCCTCGATAACTTCTGCTTTCAGCTTGGAATTAACTGCGATAAGGACGCCTCCCCCAGTAGTTTTCCTACTATTATTCGTGTTTCGATCGCAGCGAAATATTTCGTAGCCAGCACCAAAGACATAGTTTGAAATGGTTCGATAATTGAGCCATGTTTCGGT